GGGGGGGGGCAGGCGAGCATGGAGTGAACACAGAGATGAGCTGACAGAGCGGGCCGGCCTGAGAGTGGGGGCCTGGCATGCTGCGCCGAGGAGTTGGGAATTGATGCCGTGGGCACTAGGACAGGAGGGAGTCATAGAAGATTTGTGAGCAGAAGATGTGCTGATAGTGAGATTTTAGACAGTGTCCAGGGAGCCAGGACCTGGTGGGCGGTGGGAAGAGAAGGAGGCACATGCCAGAGACGGGGTGCGGGAGAAACCACGGGACTCTGTGATTAGTGGGGGGAGGAGAGGCTGAGGGAGGAGAAGGGGATTCTGGGACTGCAGTGGGGGCAAACAGGAAGCAGAAAGGTGTGGGGTTGGGGGCGAGTTTGGCCTTGAGGTACCCACAGGGTTCCCAGTAGATGTTCCTGGAGCTGGGGCTGTGGATCTGGGCTAGGGAGAGGGCCAGGCTGGAGACGGCAGTATGGGGGCACCTGCAGCTGTGGTCTCATCAGGAGGCAGGGTGGCAGTGACAAGTCCTCACAAGTGGGACCCCTGAGACCCCCACCCCAGAGTCTGGAGCTCCCTGATCTGCTTCATTCGTGGGGGTGGAAGGGCTGCTGCTCCAGCTCAAAGCCAGCCCCAGACACCTCTCCTGGGGCTTATCCACGGAGTGGGGGGCTGGCAAGGGGGCCAGGCAGGGGAAGGGGTCCACTACCCTGGGCTTCCCAGCTCTTCCTCTGCAGACCAACCTCTGCCCTCTCCTCTCCCTGGGCAACCGCACGCTAGCCACAGCATCAGCTCCCCTTCCACTCTGGGAACCTGAACATGCCTGGCTTTCGGTGTCTGCCACCTCCCACAGCTTCCCGCCCGAGGAAAGCCCCCCACCCCCATGCTGGGGCCTGGCAGAAAAGAGTGAGGCTAGCCCCCTACTCTTGGCTGCACCTGGGTGGCACCTGTCCAGGCCACGCTCCCTGGCACACTCCTCAGCGCCTTGACTTCCTCCAGGGCCCTGTCTGCCCTGGTCCTTATTGAGCTCCTACTGGGTGCAGGCACGGGGCTGGGTGCTGAGTGCTGGGACAGAGCAGAAGGAAGCAGATATGGTCTCCATCCTTGGCAGCTCCAGGCTAGTGGGGGAGGCAGACTGTAATGCAAACGCCACACCTGGTGAGGGCCCCTGGATGGGACAGCGTTGAGAGAACAAATGACCAAGTTGCTGGACCCATACCATGGGCAGTAGGGAAGGATTGCTGAGGAGGCACTGACCAAAAGGACAGGGAACAGCATTCCAGAAGGAACAGCATAGGTGAAGGCCTCTTGGTAGGAGCGAGCCCTGGGCATTTTGGGAGCCAAAATGTCGCCGCTGTGGCAGGAGCCCTGAGAGCAAAGGAGATCCCAGTGGGGGGCAGTGGAGAGCCCTTCCTAGGTACTTGGTAAATAGTCTGGAATACATTGGGCAGCTGCCTGGGAAGATGGCTGGTTGGGAGTCAGGGGCCTGGAGTTCTAGCTCCATCTCTGCTCTAACTGTTCTGTGACCTTGAGCAAGACACTTCCCCTTTCTGGGCCTTTTTGACAAATCAGTGATGCCCTATATACTCTGATCCTTGAATGCTCAGAGCCTTTGCCCTAGCTGTTCCCACCACCTGGAGGCTCCACTCCTTCTCCTGCACATCATTCAGCCTGCAGAGTGGATGCCACCTCTTCCAGATGCTGCCCTGCCCTCCCACATTGCCTGCTCTCAGTCTCTGTTACAGCCCCTGGTTAGTTTTTGCTGGGCTCAGACTGCCATCTCAGATGCTCCTGTTGCTTCTTTTGCTTGTCTGTTGTCTGTCTGTCCCCTCGCCTGGGAGCCCTTTGCCCCTGGGGACTCATGAAATTGTCAGCCAAGTTCCAGAGGCTGAAGGGGAACAGAAAAATGCTCCCTCCTTGACATCTAACAGACCTGAATTCAAAATGTGCCCGCCCCCAGGAAATTTGCTCTGAGGTCATGGGCAGGTCACTCAAACACCCTGAGCCCCAGTCTTCTCATCTGCAAAGTGAATCGTATCTATTGCAGAGCGTCCTGCACGGGGCTGTCCTCCATCCCGACGGTAAGTCCCTTTCCCACCTTGGGCCCCACTTCCGGGAAGCGGGGTGGTCAAGGGCCCATCCAGGACAAGTTCATTCGCTTCTGTCAGCTCTTCCTTTGTAGCCGCTGCCTCAGCATGTCCATCACCAGCCTATAGCTGTCCCTCCCGAGGAGGAGCCCAGTTTTCTGGGGGCCAGATGGAATCCCTACACCCCTGGGGCCCTTCAGGAAGCAGTTGCAAGCACATACCGGGTCACAGGCTCTGTCTGAGGCAGGATCTGTTATTATCTTGTTCATTTCACACAACACACATCAACACACGTACGCCCAGCCACACCCACAGAGGCCCAGAGTCACACACACTCTCCAGCCTTCCTCCCTCCCCTCCCACTCCCAAACCCCAACGCCCTAGTCCCCAGGGTCCCAAGGGAGACCCGTTCAGACACAACAAACTCCTTGTCTGTGTTCGAGACGCCCCCACAGTCAGAGCCCTGGGCTGACTGGGGAGGGCGACTTCCCTTCCTGGACAGGGCAAGGACTTCCAGCCCAGTTCTCAGGTGGTGGACGCTTGTGGCCTTGCCACCTAGGCACCCCCTCCCGCCAAGAGACCAGGCTTCCCCAAATCCTCTCCCACAAGGCAACAGAGAGACACAGGGGCTTTAGAAATCAGGCCAATTTTAAATATCTGAAGGTACAATATTAAGATTAAATACACATCATAAATAAGCCTTATAAATAGTAAACAGATAAAAACTGATAAAAATCGATAAATTAGTCATGTCCCTCCGAGGAAATATGCCAACAGCTTCTGGGACCCCTTCCAAGAGGGCAATGGTTTCAGCATGAGAAAATTCCATGATGTACCACCAGGGGGAGCAGCCAGCAGCCAGGACCCAAGACCCGGAGCTTCCAGGCGCTGGGAAGAACAGAGAACTCAGTCTGCAACCCTGCGTGTCCCAATTTATGGAGAGAATTGGATATGCACCCTGTGTCAGGGAGTCCCAGCAACTGACAGGCAGAGAGGGCTTTACACTGTCCCCAATCCCCTTGATTCACAAAGAGAAAACAGATTCAGAGAGGTAAAGCTGCCTGAGGCCACACAGCGAGTTAGGGGCTGAGCTGGGTTCCTTGGACGCCCCCAGATCAGTGCTCCTTCAAGGACACTCTGCCTCTGTCACAGCTGCCTAAGGTGAGGTCACCCAGACATCCAGGTGTCTGGCCTGAGACTGAGATGGGGCTTAGGAGGCCAGATCAGTCCCCGACTTCTTCCTTGGAACCATGCCACCACGGAAAGGAGGAAGTCTGGGGGCAGCAGCCCTGCAAGTCATGAGAGGGAAGGGCCGGCAGGCCTCCGGAGAGCAGAACAGGGGGAGCAGTCAGTCTGGCCATGAGTCAGCCTGTGTCATCAGACCCCTGAATCAATGGAAAGTTGGCCCCGCGTGGCCTGACCCGGCCATCCCCCCAGGACGGGGGAACTCAGGGATGGGGGGCACAATGGCCTGACCCCATCCCCCTAGCCCAGAAGGAGGAGGTAGATCCCTTAAAGTGCACTTCTGAGAGGTGGGGAATGGAGAGGAGCAGGTTTGGAGGTCCCTGGAGGTGCCATCCTGGAGAGCACCTGCTGACCCTCCACCTGCCAGGGGAGCCCCTAAGGCTACCAGGGCAGCTGCCCGCTGGGCGCCAGTCTCCTGCCTCTGCTGAAGAGGTGGGTCCCATGCGCCCCCTTCTGCAGGGCCTGGCGGGGGCTGTGTCTCCGGATCCGGCGCGGGCTCTTCCCCCACTCCCGTAAGACCTGGGCCACCGAGTGCATGAAGTGGTGGTAGCCGCTCAGGAACCTGCAGCCCTCCAACTTGCGCTGGAAGGCGTCTGAGGCGAGGGTGGGCAGTGGCGGGGCCGGGCTTGCCTGAGTGGGCTTAGCTGCCTCCGAGGAGCTGCCAAGCAGCTGGCACATGCAGTGGATGTTGCTCTGGAACCCGCGGATATACAGCATCACCATACCCAAGTCCTTGAGTTGGGGGAGGTCCTGCTGAAAAGTGGTCAATCTGTGCAGGACCTGGCCCAGCGTGGCATTTAGGATCTGCAGGAAGTCCCACCTGCTGAGCCTCCACAGCGCATCCTCACTGGGAAAGACCCCGGGGCGCTCCTTGCAGTGTTCTTTCAGTCCAGACGTGTCCAGGCCTTGGATGTGGATCTGGGGGGGAAAGGAGAATCAGGGAGTGAGCATGGAGACCCCACCATGCACACATAGAGACAAGTCTGCTCTGGTCAGCCTTGAAATGCTCGACCTCACATACCCCCTTATCCAGTCCTCCCATTGTACAGATCCAGAAACTGAGGCCTGAGGGGGAGAGGACTCCCCGGTCACTGCAGGCAAGGTCAGAGGGCTAGGGGGGCTGGTGGGGGTGGCCGCACAGGCAGTGATTGTGGTATGGGGAGTGTCAGTGGGGGGGTGACCATGAGCTTCAGGAGAGCGGGACTCTCATGCTCACTGCTACATCTCCAGGGCCTAGAACAAGGCGAGTGGTAGGTGTGTAGTAAGCATGATGGACAAACAGATGCATGAGGCAGTGGGGTTGGGGTTCACATTACAGACCCACTGAGCTAGGGAGGCTGTATCCTCTCCTTGGCGTCTCAGAGTTAGGCCTGAGATTCAACGTCGCCCTGGAATAATGTGGGGACTCGGTTTCCCCACCTGCCCCAACTCAAGTGGGGGTTGGGTGAGTGGGGGTTGGGCCTGATCCTCTCTGGGGCTCACTCCTGCCCTAACCCCGAAGTTCTCTGAGACTCGTGCTGCCAGGGGCCAGGCGCTCACATAAGGGTCCAGGAGTCTGCTGGTGTCCTGCATGTAGTCCGCCTGGCTCCGGAGCTGCTCCAGGAGCCCTTGGTACTTGCCCGAGCAGCTGCCCGTGGCCGCTGTGCTCAGAAACAGGAGTCCGAGGACCAGACCTGGGGCAGAGAAGGGGGGTATCACCTGACTTGACAAGGAAGCCACAGGTGGGTGGCTTTCAGAAGGGAGGGTACCCAAGAGGGTCTCGGAGGGCACAGCCCTTCCCCGGCTTTGTGCCTTCGAGGGCGGGCTGCGCACCGTGTGTGCACTGGAGCACGTGCTGGGGCTGCCGCCACCTCCTGGTGACTCACTGCCCAGCACTGGAAACAGTGGCTGCGGTTCACCAAGTAGGCCTTTGAGAGGAGGTTGTGGGGCCCTGCTGGAGCTCCTGTGCCTGGCAATCCTGCCAACCTCAGGAGCTGACACAGGGCGGCCCAACTGGGGCTGCTATCCGGAAGACCTCTGGGCTACAGGACGCTACTGCTGCAGGACCCTGGGCCCCCCAAGAGAGACCCAGGCCCTCTGAGCAGGTGGGCTGGAGAGGCTTTATGGCAGGCAGCCGGGAGCAGCCTGGCGCCCTGAGCTACGTCTGCAGAACCAAGAGAGGCTGCCTTTCCATCCAGAGATTCCATCTGGAAAGGATGCACGAGATTGTCCAGTCCATGCACCCATTTTACCGACAGGAAAACCAAGGTGCAGAAAGAGAAGGGATGCCCAGGTCACACAAAGCCAGCCTGTCCCCTGACCTCTCACGCCTCTCCCTTCTCTTTCCATAAAGGGCCACTTCTGTCAGACCCACCAGGGATGCTGTGAGCCTGTCAGAACGTTCTGGGGAGCTGGCACAGTTACCACTCACCCGCCTCTCCCTCACCACCACCAGGCACCGGGAGCCACGTGGTCGGAAGGGGCCTGTGGCGCAATGGCCCGGAAGGCAGTGACACCATGTTCCCTTCCTAAGAACCGTTTGGCCCCTTGGGGAAGACGCTGCTGGGGAGAGCTGAGGGGCTGGGCACCCAGGTGCAGCGACCACAGGACACACATCGCCGCCTCCCCAGGTACCTGCTGCTGGGCGTGGGTGGGGGAGCCCTGTGTGAGTGTGCGCCTGGGACTAGGGTGTCTGCCGGGTATGCGTCCAGGTCTGTGTGAGGCTTGAGGGAGCAGCTGGTCACACACAGGTGCTGTGCCCCGTCCACCGTGGAGGCCCTGGGCTGCATGTGGGGGTTCTCAGGTTGGTGAGACTAAGGGTTCTGGATGATGTCACTCCGCTCTGTGTGCATGTCACCCTGTGGGTGTGGCTATGTGTGCTGTGTGATTGCGTGGGCTCCAGGGCTCCTGAGCCTGGCTGTGTCTATCCATCCCAGACCCTGCAAATCGGGGCAAGAGGAGGCCTCGCAGCCCCTCCAGACAATGCACCATTTTCCCACTGAGCTTCTGCAGCTTTCTCCTCTGCCCAGCACATCTCCCACCTTTCTCCTGCTTCCCCAGCCTCTCCCCTAATCCGTCTTCTTCTCTCCCTCCTTGGCTCCCAGAGTTGCCTCTACATCACCTCCCCCTAGAAGCCCTCCGGGGATACCCTTTTTCCACCCCGTAAAGATGCTGTGTTCTCAGTGGGCCCCTCTCTTTGCCTGACCTCCTGGCTCTCTCCTGTTCTTAGCATCCTTTTACCCAGCGCCCAGCCTCCCCACCTCCTGGAGGACAGAGGGTGCCTCTGCTCCACTGGTGCCCGTGGGCACAGCAAGCTGGTGCTAGTGGGGAGGAAGGAAGTACTTACTGAGCAGCATCCTCTGCGTAAGCTGTGCCCGCATGCTGGGTGCCTGAGCTCTGACCCGTGCCTGCTGGGGGTGACACCTCCAGGCTGGGAGCCCTGCGGGCTGGCAGCCACTTTATGCCCGCTGGGGCGATTGGCCAACACCTCGTGAGGTGGGTGGGGAGGGGGAGGGAGAGGGGGAGGGCAGGCCTTCTGGGAACATGACCCCAAAAACCAAAGTTTCCACAGGCGGCCAATGGGCGCTGGGTGCGGTGGCATGCCTGCTCCTCCTCCTGTTTTCTTCGAATTCGTTCTTCGAGGTCAGCCCCACGCCCAAGGATGATGCAAACCGCAGCCTCAGCCTTCCTGGGGTAAGCGGGGAGCAAAGGGTCTGTGCCATCTGCAGGGGGCTGTGCCTGGGATAGAGGGGACAGTCTGCCAGACGGGCACCTGGAGAGCCCGAAGGCCAGTGTCTGCCCAGGAGCCATCAGCCTCACAGGCCATGGTGGTTTGGGGCTGAAGGGAGCGAGACATCTTCCTTCTTGAGTGCCCTTCCCGCCCTCCCGCCGGGGCTGTTGGGACATCTGTGAGCGGAAACCACCGGGCTCTGGGCACAGAGCCAGACCCAGGCTGGCAGCCCTGAGATTGTGGTTCTGGCCCCGGGACCTGCATCCCCCAGTGGGGCTCCCTGCTGTCTTCTTTCCTCCACCATGCACCCCACACACGACCAGCCTTCCCCATCCCAGCCCCATAGCCCGCAGCCAGACCCTTTTCCTTTCTCTACAGACAGGGTCCTCTGGGCATTTGGAGCAAGAGAAACAAGAGATCAGGATTCAAGCCCGCTAACATGCTGTGTGACCTGAGGCAAGTCACTTAATCTCTCTGGGCCTCACCTATAAAATGAGGACTAGAAAAGCACTTCCCGGCCCACTTCACAGGGCTGCTGTCATCACGGACATAAAAGCAAAAGCCCTTTGAAGGAAAAAGGAAAAATGAAACTCTAGTTCCAAGTACTAGCTCTCGGGGGGCGGGGTGGGGGATGGAGGAGATGGGGAAGCTGTGAGCTCAGAGGGGAAGCCGGGGAGGGGGAGTCGCTGCAGTGACGGTTGGGGACCAGGTTTCACTTTCTCTGAAAGATAGTGATTGTGGGTTGGTGCTCTGCTTCTCGCAGCCTTCTGAATGTCAGAATGAAGGGGCCCTGGAGACAGCGCCTCCTTAGTCAACCCACTGCTTCCTCGTGGAGTAAGCTGAGGCTAGGGCAGGGGCAGAACAGGCTGGCCCAGGCCTGCAGGCTGTGCCTAGTGGCCCCAGAACATCCACCAGGCCCTGAAAAGAATCTTTGGCCTATCCCCTCAGGATCCTGGCGGCGAGGAGGGTGTCAGAAGGCTGGGGAGACAGGGTGGGACCCCAGGGGACTGCCAGGGAGGCCTGAGCTGCTCCAGCTGGGGAGAGCACTGGGCCTGTGCAACCTGGACTAGGAAAGCTGAGGTGGCAAGAAGGAGGAGGACCAGATGTCCCTCTCTGCCCCTGGCACCAATCATGACCACCAAGGTTCTTCTCATGTGCTGTTCTCTCTGTAGACATGCCGCCATCAATCATTTATCCGTTCAACAAACTTTTATCTGGCCCTACTTTGTGCCAGCCACTCCCAGGTGCTGAGGATCCAGCAGTGGACAAAACCAGACACACCTTCCTGCTCAGGAGGCTGCTCCTCACCCCCACCCACTCCCTGGCGTCCCAGCATGGTGCATACTGCGCCATGCCCAATTACCCCGCCATCACCAACCCCGAGGGGCACTTCTGGATTCTCCTCCTGAGAATGTCGCTTCCACTAAATTCCTCATCTCTGTGCCCACCCCCGCAAGGCTGCTTCCTGGGGCCCATGCCAAGCTGGGATCCTTCTTCATTTCACATCCCTGATCTCATCTTGCAACAGCCCCAGGAGGGAGAGCAGCCGGGCAGGGATGCCTCAGCTCCCTTTAATGAGGAAACTGGAGCTCAGAGAGGCTCAGGGCCTGCTCCAGGCAGGAGAGCCAGGTCTGGCCAGAGAGCTCCTTGCCCCTCTCAGCTACTGCTGACTGACCTCCACATTCGGGGAACAGCCACATGCCTTTACCTTGTCATCCCCACGGTCCAGGGAGGCCGTATTGTCTCCTCCTTTAAAAAGGGCTCCGAGGCCCGGAGATGTGAGGTTGCCCGGCATAGGAACATTTAAGAGGAGCAGGGCTGCCAAATCTGAAAGACCACGCTCTGAGCATGCAGCTAATTGACGTGCCGTGTGCAGGCCCCAGGGACGAGGGCCACTGAAGGGAAGGAGGGCTTATGTATTAGTTTGCTCAGGCTGCCATAAGAAAATACCACAGACTGGGGCTTAAACAATGTCTTCTTCACTGGAAGTCTGAGATCAAGGTGCTGGCAGGGTTGGAGATGGCCACCTTCTTCTTGTCTCCCCACATGGTGGCCCTGGGTCTGTGTCTGTGTCCTAATCTCCTCTTCTTCTAAGGACGCCACTCCTATTGGATCAGGGCCCACCCAATGACCTCATTTTACCTTAATCACCTCTTTAAAGGCCCTATCTCCAAATACAGCCACATTCTGAGGCTCGAAGTGGTTAGGTCTTCAACATATGAATTTGAGGGACACAGTTCAGCGCATAATCGCTTACAAGAGGAGGGCGTGGTCGGAGGGCTGCAGGGAACAGGGTCACTGGAGGAGAGTCCAGAGAGAGGTGAGAGGGCAGAGAGGACAGGGAGAGGCCACAAGGTGAGGCGGCCCGGCTGCCCGACTGCCCATCTGAGCGAAGCCTGAGGGGAAGATGCGTCAGCGTTTCTGGTGAGGTCAGCACCCAGTGACGTCCCTCTCGCCAGCAGGAAAAGCTTGCAACACGGCCCAGCCAGTATAAATAGGCTCCCCGACCACAGGACCCGGGCTGTCCCCTCTTCCCGGGCCACGTCAGCCAGGTCCGCGTGATTCGGAGGGGAAGAGAGGACTGGCTTGCTTCCTCAGAACTGCTATTTCCCCTCCTTTCCGGCCTACCCTTCTGCTGTGGGGCTCTATCCCTTTAAATGCAAGCACAGGACCTGGGGTGGCCTGGGAGGCCGGTCAAAATTGGAGGCTAGGGCTGGCCCCGTGGCTTAGCGGTTAAGTGCGCGCGTTCCGCTGCTGGCGGCCCGGGTTCGGATCCCGGGCGCGCACCGACGCACTGCTTCTCCAGCCATGCTGAGGCCGCGTCCCACGTGCAGCAACTAGAAGGCTGTGCAACTATGAGATACAACTATCTACTGGGGCTTTGGGGGAAAAAAATAAATAAATAAATAAATAAAAATTAAAAAAAAAAAAAATTGGAGGCTGGAGGCTGCTCCACGGGGTGGAGAGACAGTGGCCCCCGACCTGCTGGGTGGGCAGTGGAGACCAATCTGCTTGTGAGCCCAGTGTTCTTGGGCCAATCACATCCCTTTTCTGAGCCTCAATTTACCAAAACTTTGTGGTCTCGGTGGCACAACTTAACAATCAAGAGACAAACAGCCCAATTCAAAAATGGGCAAAGGATTTGAATAGACGTTTCTCCAAAACAACAGACCAAATGGCCAATAAGTACATGAAAAGATGCTTGGCTTCACTAGCCATCAGGGAAATGCAAATCAAAACCACGGTGAGCCACCACTTCGTACCTGCTAGGGTGCCTATAGTCAAAGACAGACAATACCAAGTGTCGGAGAAGACATGGAGAGGTAGGAGCCCTGGCGCACGGCTGGTGGGATTGTAAAATGGTGCAGCCACTTTGGAAAACAGTCTGGCATCTCCTCAAATGGTTAAATATAGAGATGTCATACGCCCAAGTTTTCTGTGCCTAGGTATGTACTCAAGAGAATTGAAAACATATGTGCAGGGCCGGCCCCATGGCTTAGCGGTTAAGTGCGTGCGCTCCGATGTAGGCGGCCCGGGTTCGGATCCCGGGCGCGCACAGACGTGCTGCTTCTCTGGCCATGCTGAGGCCGCGTCCCACATACAGCAACTAGAAGAATGTGCAACTATGACATACAACTATCTACTGGGGCTTTGGGGGAAAAATAAATAAATAAAATTATAAAATTATCATACTAAAAAAAAAAAAGAAAACATATGTGCACACAAAAACTTGCACACAAATGTTCATTTATTTACAATAGCCAAAAGGTGAAAGCAACCCAAATGTCCATCAACAGAAAAATGGATAAAAAAATATGGTACATCGATACAATAGAATATTATTCAGCCATAAAAAGGGATGAGGTACTGATGCACACTACAATGTGGATGAACCTCGAAAGCATTGTGCTAAGGGAAAGAAGCCAGTCGCAAAAGGCCACATATTGTATTATTCTGTTTATATGAAATGTCCAGAACAGGTAAATCCATAAAGACAGAAAGTAGATGGGGGATGGGGAGTGATAGCTAATGGGTATGGGGTTTCTTTAGGGGTGATGAAAATGTTTTTGAATTAGATAGTGGTGATGGTTGCACCATCTTGTGAATATACTAAAAACCACTGAATTTTACACTTTAAAATGATGCATTTGATGTGTGAATTGTGCCTCGATTTTAAAAATGCAATGGCAAATGCTACCTTGCAGGACAGTCCACGTAATTCAGTGGAAAATGCGTGCAAGCACCTGGCCCACCGCAGGTGCTCGACAAACACTTACCGGCCAGCCGCTGGGTCAGACGAAGGCGCACATCTGCTTATGTCACCGGGTGGCTTTAAGGGCGGTTGGGAAAGATGGTGTTACATAAACCCCGGGGTGAGCAAGGCTCTACCAGGGCCCTCCCTGTGAGGTCAGCCAGGTCACCCTGGGCTGGGGGATCCTTTGGCTCAAGACCTGCCACAGAATTCTTCTGGAACCTGGTGCATCCACAAGAGTGGGAAGCCATGTCCCCCTGCACCCAGTGGCTCCCCCAAATTGAGTGACTGATCTCCTTTTCAAGGGCCTGAACACCTATTCAGGGAAGTGCAGCAGAGAGAGTTGAAACTCACTTTTGTGCAGGATCCTCTACTGTCCACTTCACACTAGCTGTGTCCTCAGACCAGGCCCGCCACAGGGACCCCCCAGGCCGAGGGGAATGCGGGTGGGGGCCGATGCGTCTACTCTGAGGTGGGCTGACCAGGAGATGAGGGTGCTGCCCTGCTGTCTGCAATCTGGCTGGCCTGGAACAATCCCAGCCCCTG